AGTTCTATTTCCAAGGAAGTTTTTTTCATCGAGCCAGCGATGTTTTTGGGCTGCGATACTGTATCCCACTGTGTCCAAGGAGCGGCCTGATAGGCACGTCTGAAACAGCCCACCCTCCGAACTGATCCAAGTTGTCACGCAAAACGCATCATACGGATCATACTGGTACTCCAAGTTCACTTAGTTAGCTCTACTTAATTAACAATGAAACCTGCGACTTCCCCTCTGCCGGTTTAAGAAACAAAATTGCGAACTCAGCAAAGATCATGGTCGCGACAAATCAATCCTTTTAACTTCCTTTGAAATAAAGGGGCTGGGGCAGGGGTTGGGGGAGGGGAGGAGGGGCGGGCGTTGGAGGTTGTGGGAGAGGAGGTCATTTTCAGCATCTGGATGTGTGCCGGGCGTGAACAAAAAGCGCTCTCTAATTTGCACGTCTTGTAGTGTATCTCCTTAGCTATCGCTGGACAGCCAAATCTGACAGACTCCTTGTGATCAGAGCCTGTGTCGTGGGCAGTTACACAAAAGGTTCAGAAATGGCAACGTTCGGACCCTTAACGGACCAAGGACTCTGCCGTCTGCTTTGAAATTTCTGAAAGTAAGGGCTCATCAAACACTCTCTCTCTCTCTCTCACACACACACACACACACACACACACACACACACACACACACACACACACACACACACACACACACACACACACACACACACACACACACACACACAAGCTGCTCGTTAAAAGCTCCCTTTCATCCATACGGAAAACTGAAATAAGGAATAGATCTATAATATTTGAGTGTTTGTAAAAGGATTTTCGTTCAGAAAAGAGGGGAGAAAAGGAGTAAGGGAGATGGGTGACTTTTTTGGGGTGGAGTGGAGGGGGGGGGGGGGTGAGGGGGAAAGAAAAAGTGGAGGTAGAGAGTGAGTGACAGAGCCAATGCTTGTTCTGAGTTTTTAGAACAGAAAATTCAAAACTTTGGGCCGGAGGTTTGTCGATACTAGAAACTCCTGGCGTCGATGCTTTTCTAGAAATTGCGGATGTAGCAACGGGCAGTTTTAGTTGTATTATAGCAGTCACTTTTTCTGTGATCTTGAATGATAGTCATGGGCAGGGTCGACTGCATCTATTTCATTTCTATTCCTATAGTCTAAATATTTAGTTCGATGTTACCTCCTTTGTACGACTTGCAAACTGTCTTCTGGTTTGGAACGGGTGATGAGATTACGCTATAGTATGCTTCCCGGTATGTCGAGAATGTTTCTGAATCCTATTCTAGGGACTGCTGGGTAATATAAGTTGTATAGCGCATAGACAATGCTGTAGGGCGTCGATATGCTCTTTCTAAAAGCAATTTTTTATTATTAATATTATAATGATGATAATAATAATAATAATAATAATAATAATAATAATAATAATAATAATAATAATTATTATTATTATTATTATTATTATTATTATTATTATTATTATTATTATTATTATTATTATTATCATTATCATTATTATTATCATTATTAATATTATGATTGCTATTATTGTTATCGTTGTTGTTGTTGTAGTTGTAGTTGTTGTTGTTGTTGTTTTCGTTATTGTTATAAATAAACTGCAACAAACCCAAAAGAAATACCAATTAAAGTTTCAAACGCAATAAATCAGTCGCGTTTTAAATGGAAATGTGTATACTATAGTGAAGTTTTTTTTAGCAGTTTGTCTATGATTTATATAATATATTTATTTCTTTTTAAGGCTCAATTTTTTAAATTGTCCCTCACAGGAACCAAACTCATGTCTCCCACGTGCATACACGCAGAGCATAGCTGTTAAACTACTCAAACGCTACTACAAAAGAGTACTGGCTTTATGATTTATTTAAAATTTTAAAAACTTAAACAAGAGTTGAAGGCAAAAAGCTTACAAATCACTATCTTAGAATTACAAAGTTCTTTCTGTTCAGTACCTTGTTTTGAGAAAGTTGACATAAAAAGAGTCAAGCTTCATTATACGTCAACCTTTTTTCGAGTGCAATTCTTTAAATATCTTGATAACGACTCCGAATAATCTTACGATTTTGAAAGAGCAGGTACAACACGTGGTCTCTGACCGCATGGTCTTAGTAACTCAAAACAGTCAAAGACGTCAGATAGAACTGTGTAATTCTGAGCAGGGGCGAAGCGTCTATATAATCAAATAATCACTGCTTCCCTTCCTAATTTTGAAACATTGTCGCTGTCAAATTCATCCTTAAACGTAAACCTCTTAAATTAAAAGTAAAAAGAGGTTCGTAATCCACAATGAGCATTCCTAACATTCAAAACGGTTTCACGGCCACATAAATAGCCTCCTCACCCCTCTCGGGCCACTCCATAATCAGTCGCAAGCTTTGATTAAGTAAGCTTAAAGTGAGGCTGAAAGAGTCTACCTATACAGTTGAGGGAACATGTGCATAGCAGTCATGGCTGTTTCATTGCCACATATACCCTGTTCACCCCTTTGGGGCCACAGTTAAAATCAATCACAAGCCCTGATTAAGTAAGCTAACGAACACTGGTCGAGTCTACCTCACAAATGTGAGGGGAACTAACTCCTAACAATCTCTTTACTGCTGCATGTGCTTGTTTTTTTTTACTTGACTTTTTACTGTCCTATAATCAGATCGTGACCTCGATTATGACACCAGCCCCTGGCCGCGAAAGGCTAACAAAAACAGACAAATGTGAAATTTAAAAAATGATAATTGTCATGTTCTACCAAAGAGTTAGACTCTCTGGTAGATCTATAACATATAGATCTAGTACTGACATCTCTGCTTCTTTGCTTTGTGTTTATGTATTCACATCTAAAGTTAATTTAATTTTAGTTGGAACTGATATTTAATAAGATACTTTCCCGATTATTTTGGCGGTTGAACATACAATATGAATTCCGGATTTGTTTTCATTTACAACTCAGGCAGAGTCGCCGCCTCGAGTAAGATTCTTATGTGATATCTACAGGTCATATAGATCTATATCTGGTCCCGTTTCACTTTGATTACCCTGTCAAACAAGTCAGCCTCCGCCCCTGATTCTGAGGTAGCAAAATAACGTGCCGAAGTGAGAGAATCCTGTTACCATAAAAGCGCCTGCATTTTCCCCAGAGAGAAATTGAATGACAGCTCTGGTCCAGGTAAAACATTTAGAGTAGAATTACTTTAAATATTAAAGCAGATGTGCTTTCACGCTGGGCTGTAATATAAATCTGCAAGAAAGAAAAGTTTTAACCGTTGATTGAATCTCTCATTGAATCAGCCTTTCACGTCATTAAGTAAATTATTATACCTTTTTACTTTTCATTTCTTGTCTCGTATTTCATCATGATGCGAAAAGAATGTGCGAAATTGTATACGTTTAATTAATATTTCCCCCCAACACTGTAAGGTTATTTAAAGGCAACACCTTCTAATTTACCGTCCATCTCCCATACGACCGGCAAAATTAGGAAAATGCGTGTAAAGTGCCTTTCTCAAGGCCACAAAGTCGGAGCGAGCTAAGCTTTGAACTCTCCTCTCCCTAAAACACACAATCACGCGATAACGAGCCCTGCCACTCTTTCATGTTGTTCATTCTGTGAGTGGAAATAACAATATTCTTCTGCATTTTATGAAGTTGATAGACGTGTTGAGGATTATATTATGTTTGGGGAGGGGGGGGTGCTGCTAACTCAGGTGGCATAATGCTGGACTACTTGGCGGTCGACCCTAGTTCTAGTCCCAAGAAAAGCATCATCATCATCGCCATCATCATCATCATCATCATCATCATCATCATCATCATCATCATCATCATCATGCCGACACCAAAAGTCACATCATAATTGAATACTTATACATTGCATATAATTATGCTTTATGTCAGGAGAACGGTTAATATAATGCATGTATCCCCCTCTCCCAAACCCAAATGTTGGTGTCGACTACAAACCTGCAAAGTTCATGCAAGCTAATATTTCCTGAGCAAATAGCTGTGTAAATAATTTTGTTAAAATACTTATAATTCGGTCAAAAATTCGTGGCGCGACTCATTGCCAAATATCTCCTTAACTATCGAACACAGGTTCTCCAATTTTTGCACAATGACTTGTAGCAGTTTGTCTTAACAGATCAACATTTTTGTGAACACCTGCAAATTGTATTCTAGAAAATTCTTTAATAAATATAAATAAAAAATCCAAATGGGTGGTCTCTACAGATTTTTAAATGGTTACAGCTTTGGGCAATATTGCTTTTAATAGCAAATACGTCATGTTTTTGTAATCGAGACATTACGCTTATTGAACGCATGTTTTGAGAGCCGTTAGTGCAAAAAATGTGTTCACTATAAAAATAATTTCTTATGACATATTTTGCAAGTAAAACTTGTCATTGATAAGCTGTGACGTAGGCTATATGCGTCATCAAAATGTATGAGAAGCGGGAAGTGCTTTGAACAATACCATTTTACGAGTGACAGAGATATCAAATATTTTATATAAATTTATGAAGAAATGTTGTTTAGTATAGCCCCAATTGTTCTGGAAAAATAAGATTTAGTTAAGACAAATTGATACAAACTTCTGTGCAAAGTATGGATGGCATTGATTCACTCGTAAAAGAGATATTTGAGGATAACTTGTGCCACAAATTTTTGAACGCACTATAGTCACCACGTTTTGTGTGTTTGAGGGATGTGACGCTTTCATTTTTTTTCTCATGCTAGATATCAATTATTAGTAACCTTATGGAACACAGATAAAAGAAGCAAAAATGTTTTTGGGGTTTAGTTTTTAGCCAAATCCTCCCAATAAAACAGGGATCGTAGAATTGGTCGGTTTGAGCCAGATACCGTCGATAAGAAACAAACAAAAGAAAAAACCCAATCCAAACAAAAACAACAATAACAACATTTTCATTTTTGCTAAAAGAAGAAATAATCCCAAAAGACCTGTTAACTGATAAATGAGGACAACTGTTTTACTTACCAAAGTCAAAGATGCCTTCTTTCGTTCCAGTCTTCAGAATGTGAGAGAGTTTTGTGTGCAGAAACCTTGCACTACCTGTTTATTACAACAATTCACCAGAAAAATTGAATAGAACCGAAGAGCAGAAACAATTCAGCAATTCACGATCTATTCAGTCTCCGTGCGTTAAACTCTCAAACTCAGTAATTATTTATAGCCAATCTTGATGCTCATTATTACAAATGTCTTTGTGTTTTCACTTTGCTCTTTTCAGCTAGCAGGCAGTCATTCAGTCGCACCAACGGTTCCCCCTTTATGTTGCGGTTGTTGTTGCTGTTACCGCTGTTGTTGCTGCTTGAACGTACTCTCCCCGCTTCCGAGAGCGAACGGATAGATATTAGAAACGAGGAATCGAAAGCGCAGCGCTTGCCCACGTCCGCGTCTCTGAGGCTGAGGAAAGCATCGACAGTGTGAGTATGACGTCACTGTCTTCCTCTCCACAGAAGTGAGAAAAGCTACAGATGGTGCAAAGGCACAAGATGGTAACTCACTAAATTCTATTCTCTTTCCAACCCTCGCACCCAAGAGTGGGTGGGCGGGTAAGTGTTGTTGTTTTGTTGTTGCTGTTGTTGTTTTGTTTTGTTCTGTTTGTTTGTTGTTGTTGTTGTTTTTTTGTTTTTTTTGTGGGGGTTTGTTTTTTT